GTCAAAGGTCACGGCGGTCACTAGAGGGAGAGTCAAACGTCACGAGGGTGATTAGAAGGAACGTCAAACGTCACGAGGTTCACTAGGTGAAGAGTCAAACGTCACGAGGGTCACTAAAGGGAGGGTCAAGCCTCACGAGGGTCACAAGGGTCACTAGGGAGAGGGTCAAACGTCACGAGGGGCATTAGAGGGAGAGGGCCAAACGTCACAAGTGTCACTAGGGGGAGTCAAACGTCACGAGGGTGATTAGATGGAACGTCACAAGGGTCACGAGGGTCACTAGGTGAAGAGTCAAACGTCACGAGAGTCACTAGAGGGATGGTCAAACGTCACAAGGGTCATTAGAGGGAGAGTCAAACGTCACGAGAGTCATTAGAGGGCGAGTCAAACGTCACGAGGGTCACTAGGGAGATGGTCAAACGTCAAGAGGGTCACTAAGGGGAGGGTCAAACCTTACGACGGTCACGAGGGTCAAAGGTCACGGCGGTCACTGGAGGGAGAGTCAAACGTCACGAGGGTGATTAGAGGGAACGCCAAACGTCACGAGGGTCACTAGGTGAAGAGTCAAACGTCACGAGAATCACTAGGGAGAGGGTCAAACGTCACGAGGATCATTAGGGGGAGGGTCAAACGTTACAAAGGTCTCTAGGGGCACGGTCAAATAAGGGTCAGGAGTTCAAGAGGAAATCCACAGTAGCTTTTTCTACGTTTGGGGTACTTGAAAAACGATTTTTATTCATTTTTCCAGATTTTCTCGGTGGCCCTATATGAGGATATTTTTCTTTCTTTTTTTTTCATTTTTTCAATAATTCATGTTTTATCCATCCGATTTTGATTTATTAAGCGTCAAAATTTTCCATTTTTACATTCTATAAGAATATTAAAATCGGATTGGTCGAACTTGAATTATTGAAAAAAGAAAAAAAAGAAAAATGAAAGAAAAAACATCTTTAAATTGGGTCACCAAAAAAATCTGAAAAAATAGAGAAAAATAGTTTTTCAAGTTTCCCAAACAGAAAAAGCCACGGATGGATTTCCTCATGAAGGAAAGAAGGTAAAGGTCAACTCCAGACCCTAATTTGACCCTCTCCCTAATGACCCTCGTGACGTTTGACCCTCCTCCTAATGACCCTCATGACGTTTGACTCACCCCCTAGTGACCCCCGTGACGTTTGACCCTCCCCCTAGTGACCTTCGTGACGTTTGATTCTCCCTCTAATGACCCTCATGACGTTTGACCCTCCCCTAGTGACCCTCGTGAGGTTTGACCCTCCCCCTAGTGACCCTCATGACGTTTGACTCTTCACCTAGTGAACCTCATGATGTTTGACGTTCCCTCTAATCACCCTCGTGACGTTTGACCCTCCCCCTAGTGACCATCGAGATGTTTGACTCTCCTTCTAATGACCCTCGTGATGTTTGACCCTCCCTTTAGGGACGCTCGTGACGTTTGACTCTCCCCCTAGTGACCCCCGCGACGTTTGACGTTCCCTCTAATCACCCCCGTGACGTTTGACCCTCCCCGTAGTCACCCTCGTGACGGTTTACCCTCCCCCTAGTGACCTTCGTGAGATTTATTTTTTAGATGGGCCATTTTGCTCCCTTTGTCATTTGTGTCCCCCTGGCCCGTTTTGCCCCCATCCTGTTTTTCAAAATAACACTTGGAATAAGGAATTGAGTCTCTATCAATACATATGGAGATAAGTGAAGTTACCTCCTCTTTGGAGGACCTCCCAATTATGGGAGTTATGTCAACTTACCTCCAATTGCATTGATAGAAAATTGGAACTCGCACATATCTCTTTTTTTATTTTTCATGTAACCCCATGAAATATTATTTTTAGACCAAACCCTTCCGTCAGCACTTACAGATCAATATTACAATGTGATTGGTGCAATAAAACAAATTTCGAAAAAAATGCAGTTACCTCGTGTTACCACTTCACTACAGATATGTATTTTGATCAAAAAACTTTATCAAAAAATCTTGATCCCTTCCAAAATTTCTATTTTTGGATGACTTACTAATGAGAGAATATGTTCTTAGAGTTTCAGAAAGTTTCTATGGTGCCAAGGTCCCTTTTCCTCTCTCCCAATGATGAAAAGCAATTTGAAGCGTTGATTTTGATCAAAAAACTTTATCAAAAAATCTTGATCCCTTCCAACATTTCAATTTTTGGATGACACACCGATGAGAGAATATGTTCTCAGAGTTTCAGAAAGTTTCTATGATGCCAAGGTCTCTTTTCCCCTCTCCCAATAATGAAAACCAATTTGGAGCGTTGATTTTGATCAAAAAACTTTTTCAAAAAATCTTGTTCCCTTTCAAAATTCCGATTTTTCCACCTTCCCCCCCCCCTCCTATTTTTCAGTTTGATTTTACGAGAAGAAATAAGCGATTAATCATAACAACTTATCGATTACTTGATTATCCTTATCTATAGATTTAAAATTTAGTGAAACTTAGAAAATTTTCAAAATATTTACAACAATTAATAGAATAATTGATTAGCATTATCCACTGATTGACTGATTCACCCGGATGCTCAAAGATCCCTCTCCCCCTCACCCCTCCTCCCACCATTGCAATTTGATTTTGCAACGAAAAAAGAGAAAATAAATGAACTGACGAATCTTATTTTGAAACTCTTGAAAGTTTCAAATGGCGACTCTGGACATTTTTCATCGATTAGTCAGTTATCATTATCCATCGATTTGTCATGATGATGAAAAAAAACCCTCCTCCTTCCCCCATCATTTAGAATGGAGAGAGAAAAAGAAGGAAAAATTAAAAAAAAATATTAATTGTAACAATTCATTAATTACTTAATATCTTAATTTTTTTTAACACTTAAATATCGATTCATCGTCATGATAGAAGATCCCCCTCCCCCTCCCCCACCCCCATTTGAAATCGTGGGAGGAAAAAAAAAATCATTGTAAATAATTTGAAGAATTAAATATTTAATTAATTGGTTAATGGACTTTGGACTTGTCATTAACCAGGACAAATGATCACTATCAATCATGACCATGGTAATCAGAAATAAAAATAATTAAAATAATATTTTTCTCCCCGAAGTCCAGCCATGGTTTCGGCCCTGGCCTCGGAACTATCGGCCGCTAGCTCCGGCCGCTAGTTTCAGGGTGACACAATTATCAGTGAAAATTAGACATTCAACATTAATTATACCAAAGAGTGTACGGCAATAGTGACAAGTGGTTCGATCCCACGAAAATATATTGAGATTTTTTATAACACGCCTACCGTAATTTTCCCAACATCTCTCTCCACATTTTCATCCCACATCCACCCTAAAACTAGTTCCTCACCAAACAAACCGTTTTTGTGGAGCAAACCATGTTCTATAGAAGA